AGCCAGAGTATATTATGCTAAGCGAAATAAGTTAGCCAGCCAGAGAAAGGTAAATATTATGTGATTTCACTCAGATGTGGAATTTAAGAAACAAAACAGATGAACATAGGGGAAGGGAAGGAAAAATAAGATAAAAACAGAGGGAGGCAAACCATAAGAGACTCTTAAACGTAGAGAACAAACTGAGGGTTGCTGGAGGCGTGTTGGGTGGGGGATGGGCTAAATGGGTGATGGGCATGAAGGAGGGTACTCGGGATAAGCACTGGGTGTTATATGTAAGCAGTGAATAGATGAATTCTACTCCTGAAATCATTATTACACTATATGTTAAATAACTTGGTTTTAAATAAAATTTGAAAATTAAAAGTAAAAATAAAAAAGAATAATTAAGAAAAAGTGGCTTCTGATAAAATAATTTCCTATGCTCAGAGAAAAAAAGCACACTAGTTTCAAATCAGTTTTTCCAGATTCAGTAAGAAGCAAATTTATCTGTGGTATATGCCCGGCCATTTTCTCCCTTTCTGCCTGCCTTTCTTTCATTCTGTAGTCCTAAGATCCTTTCAAGGTCCAAACAGCAAATGGGGACTTGGGGAGAGGAAAGGAAGGAGGACATGATCAAATATGACATTGAGGGATCTTTTAACTTCTTTCAACAAGCCTAGGATCACAGTCAAAGCTTATTCTAATTTCTCACTCACATATTAACATTCATACTTAGTATTAGTACAACATGAGCCTTGATTAGAGCTTTAAGTGATGAGATTTACCACAGTGCTTGGCTGTTATTTTAGATTAGTCACTTAGAGTTTTATTTAAAAGTAAATCTTGGTCTGCTTTTTACGGAGTTCTCCCAAGCAGCTCCTCAAAGAGCCTAATATATACACACAGGCAGAATTAGGGCAATAATGAATGCCCCACCGGTGCACCTGTTTTAAGACTTTTAATGGGAGCTGTTAGCATTAGTGTCTCCCTCCAGATTACTCTGGTGACATATTACCATGGTACGGAAGTGGTATATATTAAAAGCAAATACACATGCCAAACCCAAAGCCTATTTTTAAATAAGACCTATTTAGCAGAAGCCATATCTGGTTGATCCCTGTAAACATTTCATATTCCGTGAGCACATGCATGCCATCTGACCTCACAGGGCACTAGAGAACAAACAACTTCCTGTCACCCTTACCAGCCCTAGAGGATGCGGTGCTCAGCTCTACCAGTGACAGTCTGCACTAAGCACACAAACGGAAAAAAGCTGAAAAAGCCCCATATGGTGTTTTCTGGAGATACTACCAAGTAGTGGCTCACACCTAAGTGGCATCTGTCACCAGAGACACCCTCCATCCCCCGTGATGGACAGTACTCACTCATTGCCCCAGTCCAGGCGGGCAGTAATGTGGCGCTTCACATCCTTCATCCGGTCATGGGTCAGATGGCCCACCAGCACCTGCCGCCGCAGATCCAGGATTTCATTCATGATGTGCCACAGCCGGTGGAAGAGATCGCCTTCATTTCTCTGGGAAGGACAAAAATGTGGAATCGGTGGTCAGTCCCCATAGTGAGTTGTGAGGTAGCCGTGGAGGAAAGGGAAGGCTAATTCCTGCTTATTACCCTCTCTGCGCTTGACAGATTCTCTGTCAACAGACACCTCTCCCCTCGTGTTGTCAATTACATTTGCCACTCTACACGCTTTCATCCAGGTTCACGATGCTGCTCTTCTGCCCAAGAGTGTACCTCACTTCTAAGACTCCCCAGCACAGACAGCGTCCTCACTACACCTCTGTACCCGGAGTCTGCACACCCTGTCTCCCCTTCCATCTCAAACTCTGTAGCTCTCTCCCAATTCTATGTCCTTCAAGGCTCCACCTGAATTCCACTTCTGTCAGGAATCTTCCCTGATAACTTTTGCCCATGTTCTCATCCCCCTTCTCTGAACTGGCTGCATACAATTAAGGCCAATTCAGAGGAAAATACTGTTTCCTAATTATTTCTTGCATGTTGCTCTTAATGTTTACTGTATTTCCCATCATAAGCTGGGTACACCGAGGGCTCTCAGACTCATTCACTGCTACTCTCTGGTCACTAGTCAGACCTCTAAAAAAAAATGGTGTTTTCCCTCTTACTTGTTAAACATTCATGTAGATTCAAGATATTCTCCCCTGAGAAATTCATTAAGCAAGGCGGCTTAATGTAAGGAAGATGGGTTAAACTCCTGGCTTCAAATCCTGGTTTGCTACTTACTAGTTTTATAGGCCTTGCGAGTGTGTTTTGTCATCTGTGAAACAGAGACAGTATGATCTCCCCATAAGGTTGTTTTGTGGATTGGAGACAATGTTTGTGAAGAGAGCAGTACAGCACAGTGACGCAGAGCACAGATTCGGGAGCCCAACTCATTAACCTGCATTCCAGCTTTGCCATTTTCTGGCTGAAAAACCTTTGGCAATTAACCTCTTTGTGTGTATTTTCTTATCTGTAGAAGGAGTATCATAATAACTACCTGGTAGGGTCACAGTAAAGATTAATGAGTTCATATGCTAAAACTGTGAGAATAATGCCTGGCTTAGAATAAATATCACGTAAACGTTGGCCGTTATTAATATGGCTTGGTCCAGAATAAGCCCTCTACAAATATTGTGTCTTTACCAAAAGCTACTCTACATCTCTTACCCATGCGCTTAGGGCAAAAACCATTTCTCAATATCTGCCCTTCATCTTTCTTAACCAGAAGCTATGCTTTAACTTTCGACTAAAACATTAATACAGGACATTAAAGTATTGAGATTTTCATATATCTGAAGTTCTCTACAGTGATAAACTTCTAGAACTATCAAAGTTCTGTGTGATGGGTAGGTACAGAGGCTCAGTCAGAACACATTTTTCTAATTTTATTTAAAAAAAATCATGACATGTCTTCTGCCTTATCAATACTTGCTGACTTAAAGTGTTTTAATGTACTGTGCAGGTTAAACAAATGTGCTGGCGAAACACGAAGCATTCTCCATAATACTATCCCTGGTCTTCTGAGATACAAATAATCACACTCCTAACTCCTAAAGCACTCCATTGAGCTTGCTCTTCTATTCTCACTCTTTACTCATGTAATACACACCCATACAAGTCATTAAAGAGACACTGTAATGCAATCTTCTAGTAATTCACTGCTCAGTGTCTGTGTTTTCCACGTGGTGTAAGCTCCCAACCACAGACACTGTGTCTGTCTTGGGCAGCCCCAGCCGCTGGAGAATGAATGAAAAAATAATGTGATTTATAGGAGGTCATATACTGTGGATCCTGAGAGGTAGATTCTGTTTAGGTCATGGGAAACAATCAGGTAAGATCAGGAAAACCTTGAGGATGTCAGTGGTCACGAGGAAAGGTCCACTAGAGTCAAAGAAAGTACATAAGGAAGATATAAAATAAGTCAAGTCTTGTGCAGGAAAATGGAGAGGCAGCTCCCTCTTGAAGTGACTGTCACAGGGTGAGAGTCACCTTCCCTGCTCTTGGGGAAGGTGTTTTGTAGTCATGCAGCAGGATGGGCTTAATTTTCTAATGATGTCCCCTTTAGTACCTAAGGTTAAGAGAACGCTAAGATGAGAAGGAAGCTGGTTCCCTCAGAAAAATGAAAACCAGCTGGTCAGCTCTCCCTTTAGGAAAACAGACATACCTCAGCCCTGAGCAGCAAAGCTGCTCTCCTAATGTGTGGAACCAGTACCTATCTGGTCTGGCAGCTAGTCATAAAATGATGATTCTTGAAAAACTGGACAGTTATGAAGACTATTTAGAAACATCAAAAATCCTCTTGATTTAACAGTAAATGAAAAGGGTAGGGTAAAATATTAAACACCTGGAACAAAAGATTATCTGTAAGTTCCTGCAATGCATCAGAAATGTAGCCAAAACTGAACTGTGGGTATTGTAGTGTTTTAGAGAATGGGGAAGTTCTCATTTGCCTCAAAATGAAAAGAGCATAGGTTCTGGGGCAGCAGATCTACCTTCAGACTCAAGTTTCACCAGTTAGAGTGGGACCCTGAATAGGTTATCTCTGATAAGATTTGGGAATAAAAACAATCTGGCAGAGCCCCAGGGAAGAAAGATATAAAATATTGAGACAAAGGCCTGCACAGAAGTACTTAGTAAAAGATGGCGGCTGTATTTCTCCTAAGGTTTTTGTGGTTACGTTCCTGATATTTTATTAAGTGATATTTTAAAGAATATTATTTAGGCTCTTACCAATGACATTAAAAAGAGCAACTAGCACTTCTTAAGTATTTACCGTGAGCTTTTAAGCTAAATGTTCTACTACTATTAAGTCTATCTCATAAACTGCTTACAATTTACAAGATATTATTATCCTCATCAAACATCTTCCAGTGGAGAATCCGCGTGCCTTAAAAAACACTGGAAAAGAACATGGATGCTCAAGTATGATGAATCTGAACTAAAACATTGGGCTTGAAACACTCTTATCAGGAAAAGAGAAACCAAAAGGCCCAACATAAATAGCCAAGTCAACCCCATGTTCAAGGTCAAAAATCTGCTTTCTCCAGGTTAAACTTCATATTTGTTCCTAACATAACAGACTACCATGCCAGTATCTGGGGGAACTTTTAAATAACTTTCTCTCCATCTCCATTACTCAGGACATTAAAAAGGTGGAAGGTTACTCCTAGAGCTTACAACACAGAGATTTTTTCAAGCCAATCAAGTATGTCCCCAAAATAGATGCCTGCAACCTGAAAACCAGGTAAAAATAGCTAGATAAGGCAGAATCAAGAGGAAATTCAACTTTGTTCCCCACAAGCAGCCTCATAAAAGGGAAAGTGCTGGTGCTCTAGCTCCACAAATGGATGACACTTACACTGCCATTATTTTTATAACTCATACGTTGGGTATTTAAATGATGCAATGACCTGAACATTTCAGATAGTTTCATTTCCACGTTAATATTATGTACAATGTTATGTTAAGTGAAATAATACTTGGATTTTATATTCTTCCTATTAAAAAAAAAAAATCTGAAAGGGAGATCTGCATTTCCTTTGCTGCCTCTCAGCACAGAGCCCCTGAGTTCAGTTATCTTGACTTTGCATTTACCTCATTCCAGCAAAGCTTAGACTGGCATTTCATCTCAGACTGCCCTGTGGATTTTAGTAGTGAGTCCTAAAGCCACCAGCTCTAGGAGGGCATGGTCAGAGAAATCCAACATCAAAAGGGGTTTTATTTTTAAGATTTTCTTGCTTCAGTGAAATATCCTATTGCATTTTATATGTAACAGACAATAAAAACTGTCATTCTGTGCCAATGTCCTTCACTAATTTGGATTTTCCCTTTGACAAGCTGTTTCAAATCATTTTGTCAGGCTAAGTACACCTTTGTATTTTGAACGCATCCCCTCAAATGATTAAGCTGTTCTATAAATGTCTTTGAAAATAAAAGGAGAAATAGCATTCATCTTCCTCAGACATGTTCAGAGACCCAAAGTGAGAGCCCTAGATTCACCTAAGAATCCACACTCGGCCATTTTCCAGCTGCTTGGCTCAGAGCAAGTACTGTACTTCACTCTCTGCCTCATTTTTCTCATTAGTAAGCTGGGAATGATCATGGTCACAATTTCCTTGAGTGGTTGTATGGATTAAATGAGATAGTGCATATAGAGTACTTCTACAGGGTTTGCAACACAGTTAAGCTCTCAATAAAGACAATTTGTTATAATAAGTAAATACGTACATAAAAACATAACCCCCAAACATGGACCCCCCCCCTTGTTTTCAAGAAACATTCCTTTCCCTTATATATTTAGAATATTCTTGTTCATTCTGCCTAAGGAGTCTATCATTTTCAGTACACTTGAATCATTTACAGAAAATTAGAATAAAATGCCACCAATACTCCAATTGCACTGAAAAGGAATTCCTTTTTCTTTGAAGATCAAAAATACTCAGAAAGCCTAACACAAGTTCCATGTAAACCATTCTATTTGATTAGATGCCAGAAAAATCATGTTTTACATTCCTACAGTTTGAATAAGAACTCACAAAACACATGATTAGTGGACACACAGATTACAACAAGACTATGTCTTGTAAGGCTCTGTATCTCCAATTTCTGGAGGAGTACAAGTGCCTCAGAGCAGGTGCTCAATTATTAGTCAGTGCTTACCCTTGTTCAAGTATCCTTAAAACAATTCTCTATCCGAAAAACTATGCCATTAAAAAGTTACCACATAGAGCTGTTTCCACATGGTTCCCCAGTCTCTTAATGTCGATGTCATTTCTGTTATAACAGAGTCTTCAGTGGGAATAACCATTTCAAATTGTCTGTGAAATTAAAAAAGAAAAACAAAGTACGCAGGTCATTATCATTGACAATAATTTTATTTTAAATCCTCTAAAAGATAAAACTAGAAAAGGAAACTGCCTAATTGTTTTGGATTCTGCACACAGTAATCAGGATCTTATCATAGACCTGTGTGAGGGATGTCATGTGGGTTATGGCACTGCAATACCAAAATGACCACCCACTTCATCAATGTCAACTTTGAAGAGTGTGGTAAGAAGCAACATTAACAGAAGAGTTCTGCTCCAGCCACAATTTGACCGCTGAACAACTCATTTAACCTCCCCAAACCCAAAAGCCTTCACGTAACATGAGGTCACCAAGCTCGCATCAACTATGAGATGGCTTTTGCTTTCTAAGCATTATGACCATAGGACTCAAAGACAATGACAGACTTGTTCAATGATCAGGATATTATGTTTCCAAACATGCAAAGTGACTTAGTGTTATAAATATCTACACACTGAGGTACAGATTAAACACTCCCTTGCTCTTCTTTTTAATGTTTATTAATTTCTGAGAGAGTGCGCAAGTAGGGGAGGGGCAGAGAGACAGAGGGAGATAGAGGGAGATAGAGGATCTGAGGCAGGCTCTGTGCTAACAGCAGAGAGCCCAATGCGGGGCTCGAACTCACAAACTGTAAGATCATGACCTGAGCCGAAGTCTGATGCTCAACCGAGTGAGCCACCCAGACGCCCCTGAACACTCACTTGACCTTATTAACACTTCATTTTTATTATCTGTAAGTGGGACCATGAAAAAAGATTAGTATATTAATAATATCATCATGCATCATAGAGCTTAAGAGCTTCTGAAATCATAAATGTTTGAACATCCATTGCACAATGTTCTTCTCTCTGATTAGGGTAATATATTCTTCCTGTTTTTTCTCCACAAGTCACAACCATACTGGAAAACATTCATACCAACATCTACTAGGATATATACAGTGGTTCTGATGTTGAGAAGATACATGAAGATAGGGACCAAAAAAAAAAAAAACCTAGAAGGTTTCATTTACCCTTTGTGTCTATCTTTGACATATAACAACCTTTCTCTTCACCTCAAGTTTCTTTTTTCAAATTGTTTCAAGTGAAAATGCCTAAGTGACTATTATTACAACTTTTCAAAAGAGTGTTACCTGCTATGTGATGGATTAGTTTCTTAACATTGAGTATGTATTTTTTCAAGGACAATATCTAATATGTAGAAGGTAACAACATCTTAAGACAGGGAACCAGGTTGTCTAGATGATCAAGGGAAAATTACTTCTTAGCATGAGGCTAATAACTGGTCTGTAGCTCCTTTGTGATGTTATATCCAAAGGGTGTATAATTGTCTTTTGTAAAGTCTTCTTGACAGCAAGTAAGAAAACTAAAATCTTTACCAAGAGAGCCTTGTTTCCTCATTTCATAGTGCTGTTAAAATACCTGCTCTGTTAATATTTCCCTTCTTTCTAGACCTTAAGGAAACACAGCTGAAAATGGAAAACCGGGATTTAAACCTAGAAATAAAAGTAAACCGTAGTATATGAACTGCGACATATCCAGAACCTCTTCTCAAGTCAACATGTGGCATTTGCAAATGGTAGCTCATGTATTTTGCTTCTGAAGCAGCTGTTGCAATTTAAATGATGAATATTTGGAGACAAAGATTATAAAATGATCAGATGTAAGGTCAAGAAGGGAACTATGAATTTCCAGGACAACCCGACAACCCAGTTAACGTTTAAAAAGTGGCATGACCTCAAGCAGCAATTAAACAATACAGAAGTGGCCTCGCTGTTCATCAACTATAATTTAATTTAAGGACCCCCATCAGCCCTACATAGCTCTGAAACCCAGGACTGAATGTAAAGGCAATTCAGTCTGTGAGAAGTTGATTTGGGGTTTGTTCCACCAAAATGTAAATTTTTAAGAAGCTCCACAAAATCTCCGTTTTCAACGAGGCAGCTGTTTCCTCTTAATTACACCAAAAGCAAAAATCAATGTTCCAGTAGTCATAAGTAGTTGCCCCTGAAATTACATTTTGCTTAGTTACTCTGAGATATACTTTGCAGCAATTTCATTCCAGTGGGCCATCAGGCTGCTAATCTTTCTTTTTCTTTTTTTTTTTTTCTTTCCTTAAAGTTTATTATTTATTTTGAAAGTGAGGGGAAGTGGAGGGCAGAGAGAGGAGAGAAAGAATCCCAAGCAGGCTGTCAGCGCAGAGCCCGATGCAGGGCTCAAATTCATGAACCAGGAGATCATGCCCTGAGCCAAAGTCAAGAGTCAGATGCTTAACCAACTGAGCCACCCAGGCAGGCACCCCAAGCTGCTAATCTTGCAGTAAGAGAGGTAACATCAAAATCCTAAACAAGTTCTTTGGGAAAGCAATCATCTAGCAATATGTGTTCTCAAATGTTTTTCAGACTAAAGTTTTTCTTCCAGTTAATAGTCCTAGAATCTAGGGTCTCAATCAATTCCAATAACAAATTCTTCTTCTTCTTTTGAAAATCATTGTGGGCTCTACCCTCAGTGTTCTCTGCTATTTAATGTTCATTATGCCCTGTATCACACAGAGAACCCACAACCAAGTCTTAAACTTACACAACTAAATTTTGAGACAACTTTATACATGCTTAAACTTCCTCAGGCTCAGGGAAGGGGGTCAGATACACACCAGTTACTGCCTAGGACAAAAATTTATAAATAAAAGAAGGAATTTATTTTGATAATGTCCCACCCAATCTGCTTTGAGAGGCAGGACTTCCAACGGGTCAAGTGATGACTGATATCATCTTTGCTAACATCCTCTCTTTCCCTTGGTCAGAGTGTAAGGTGTGGGCTGAGTGGCCCTTTGCTCTGGAGAGTTGAAGGCATAGGGCTGGGCTTGGGACAAAGGCAACAAGGAAAACTGGTTGCATGGGTTTGCCCAGGTGGACACTTTAAGGGTCAGGGTAGAGACCTTGGGGGTTCCACCTTGTCCAGCTCAGATCACTAGAGCAGAAATGTCAGAACAAAGAGTAAGCTTATGGTTTAAATATCTTCTAGAGGTTCCTCTGGTTTACTTGAGGGGAGCTGGACAGCATCAAAGTGAGCCTGGCGGGAGGATTCCAAAAGGACTGATAACTCTGCTTGACTCATTTCTGGTGGGTTACAGCTGCACAACATTCCCAAAGGACACACATTTATTCAAACAGTAGTAGTAGGGGCCCCTGGGTGGCTCAGTCAATTGAGCATCCGACTTCACCTCAGGTCATGATTTTGTGGTACATGAATTCAAATCCCGCATTGGGCTTGCTGCTGTCAGCACAGAGCCCACTTCAGACCCTCTGTCCTCCTCCTTCTACCCCTCCCCCACTTGCGTGGGCTCTCCCTCAAGAATAAAATAAACATTAAAAGACCAAAAAAAGGGTAACTTTCTAAAAAAAAAAAAAAAACAGTAGTAGTGGTAAATATTAATATTAGAATTACATTTTTAATCTATTTTAAATAATTACTACTGCTACTACTAATGATAGTAATATGGCTTAAAGTAGCAGACATATAGGGGTGTCTGGGTGGTCCAGTTGGTTGAGAGGCGACTCTTGATTTCAGCTCAGGTCACGATCCCAGTGTTGTGGGATAGAGCCCTGTTTCAGGCTCTGCAATGACAGCGCAGAACCCGCTTGGGAGTTTCTCTCTCCCTCTGTCTCTCTGCCTCTCTCTCTCTCTCTCTCTCTCAAAATAAATAAATAAACTTAAAAAAAAGTAACAGACATATATACATACAAGACATATAGTATAAGGATCTCCTAGACTCTAAGTTTTATCCATATAGGAAACTCTGAATGTATTTATACCATAGATTCTCGGCCACCTGCAGAGATTATTTCACTGAACTAAGACCAGTACTCTACCTTTACAGACAGTAGATATAAGAATCATCCATTTAAATAGCATCCTTGGAACTTTCTTGGTAAAACTCAAATTTGAAGATCTCATTTACTATACTTTCAAATGTGCTTTAGTAATTCAAATAAATTGCTATTTTTTTCTATTTGAAGAAAAATGTAATTTTTGCAGTTGAATCTGTCTTCTTTCTTTTGTCATAAAATGACAATCATTCAGTGATCCAGGGCATATTTCTTATGGCACTGGCAGCAAATGTTTGGATCCAAATCCACAGTCCACTTACAATGAATCACCTGCTCAAGATAAGCAGTTAAATAAGGAAGTTCTACCGTTTTATACTATGGTATTTTATTTGAATGACCCTGCTATCCTGACAGCTACTTCAAGAACTTTTGCAGACTGGAAAGACTTTTAAAATATATGAGAAATCTTAGGTGATCAATGAGCTCAAAGTACAGAAATTCCATTCCCTAAAATAGAAGAGTGGCTTTGTGAAGAGGTGACACGAAAACATGGTATTATCCCCATTTAGGGAAAAACAGCCAGACTTGGGTGCTTATAATCAATGGTAAATCTAGGAAATTCCCAGGGTTTGAGACATGACTCAGCACTCCATGGGTTGACTGACATGCTTTTCTATATAGCAGAAAACCAAAAAGAACCCACTCCTTGTGTTTACAATTAGGCTGATTCCATGATCTGTGGACAATGAGAGACCTCTGGTGCCCTCAGACTCTCTTCAGGTCTAGCACACATAGACGTACTGCATTAAATTGTCTCCACCAACCGCCCTCACCAGACAACACAGACAATGGCATGATCTCCTATAGTTCATTTTTCAAGACAATTACTAAGCCTTTCAAATTCTAAAATAAGCAATGGTTCTGTGAAAATCCTCCATTAATAAAACTCCTTTCTTACCCTTTGTTCTTCACACAGGCATTTTTCAAATGAACGTAGCTGGAAGGAAAGATACCCTGGAAGAGAAAACATGAAGGTTATGGTGCTAGTGGATGGATAAGGGGGGTAGGGGGGAGTGGAGAGGGTGTTCACAAGTCATAGGCATACACTACAGTCATACAGCCAGAGCAATATCAGAAATAGGAAAAAACAACATCTCTATCACACTGGACCCATTCCTTTTATTTTCCACCACTGACTAGTTTACAAATTCAGGGATTCTCTGAAGCAAATATAGTAGTAACAAAAAAAAAAAATTAAATCTCACTCAAAAATCTATTCTTTACAAAACAGAGTTATTTAAAAATTTTCAGGAATTCTGCATAGAATAGAAAGCATGTTAGACTGAATTAAATTTTTTTTTAATATTGCATGATTTTCAAAGAGGTTCTTTGATTGTTTTGGTAGTTGTTCTTTTACTTCTCTCTAAAACACTCGTGGCTATTTTTAAATACAGACACACAAAAAAATCACCGTGAATCGGGAGACAATACATATATTATGTGTTATGGAAGATCTCTGATGAAAACATAGCAGGACTTAATCAGCACGCTGCATTCTGATGGAACAAAAATTAAACAAAAGACACACGCTAGCTTAAAGCTTTTTATTGTAGAGAAAAGACAGGACAAGGCAATTGTTCCTTTGTTCTAAATGGGATGTTGAAAGAAGCAACATTAAAAAAAAATTAGCATCAATTTTATTGTCCATTAAATGACAATATCCTCTGAATGATTTTTGATGTGTAATCAAATGACAAATTCAATTAAATATTTAGGAAAGCAAATGCCATTTGAATATGTTATCACCATTGTGGATCCAAGGATAACATAAAATTTAATAAGCAAATTCTGTACATACAACAGTAATAAACAGATATACATGTTAAAAATATATTTTTTCCTTCAAAATTTAAATTAACTCAAAATGGTAGGATTAACAAACAGAGTAATTATAATTAATAAGAAAAAGTCAGAACTTGAGGTTAGAAGAGTGGCAGAAATAAGTCCTATTTTTCTCAAAATTATTCTAAATAAATAATTAAGTACTAAAACTATATTTGCATGTGCCTTGCAGATGACCAAAAATAACTTTAAATAAGGACTAAAATACTAAAAATATGAAATTTCTATACTCTTTTGCCCCTCAGGCTTTCCTTTAGAATGACCAAAAATAAATAAAAATACAGTTATTATATACAGCTGGATGATCCAGAAAAAGGTATAGTTAAGCAGAAAGGCAGGCAGAAGAATTTCGATTACTTGCATTATATTTTGAGAATAAGAAATTATACAATTTCTTATCTAAAATCCTAATAAAGCCAGAATTAAACCAACAAGTGAACATGACATGTAAGAGAGTATTACAGAATGTACGAAGCATGGCTAAAGGATTGAGAAGTTAAAGCAGAGCCACGGATAATAGTAAGGATTAGTTCCAAAGTCATAAAGTATACAAATGAGAGGTAAAACAAAAATCATACTACTTCCTTTTATAATTCCTGAGGATGTATATAAACATATAAAGGACAAGGAGTCTTAGCTTCTGTCTGGAATGGTAAGAAGGGGAAGCTCTTTATAATATGGTTTCCCCATGTTTCACCTGTCCAAACCCAAAAGGGACAAGGTTGCTGAAATAAACGTGTTTCTCCACACCACTATTTTACAAATGATACCACAGAAAACTTAAAGATTAAATACCTCTAATTGATATTTCTTTTGGAATATCCATTTACCCTGAATTTTAATTTCCCCTTGAATTTTAATTTTGCCCTCTGCTAAACTAACACTTCAAAAAGATTTTGTTTATATATAATGAGCTTATTAAGGTCTTCTCAGTACAAATTGCAAGAGCTATGTTGGATTACCACTTGAGTAGCATGTCTTAATGATAATCCAAGTTCAAAGGAATTTTCAAAATTATGAAAATCTGAATTGCCATTTGGCATTTCAACTAAGAGTTCCAACTGTAATTACAACTGTAAAATGAAATAAAGTAAAATAACTTTTAAAAAAAATCCGTAATTATGGTTAGGAGTAATATTTTTTACCTTGACATTTGGGTTTTTTAAAGCAAATCCTCTGTACCAGCCTGTGGAGAAATAATCATGGTCATTATTTTGATTAAACCATTGTAATGTTTTAAAGAAAAGTGATTACAAATCAATCTGTCCTTTACTGATAGAATTTTACCCTATATGTAAATATTCTATGTATGAAAAGATGGGGGTTGGAAATAAGCTAGACTATAGCTCAAGAGACCACTAGTTTAAGTATTCTATTAATACAAGTATTTTAAAAATTGTAATGGAAATTTATATGAAAAATAGAAACATGCATAATAGAAGCACAGGGTTTGGAAACAAAGGATTGGGCTTAAATTCTGGCTTTGCTACTTATTATTTTATTTAGGGCAGGTTAATTTACCTGAGTACAGTTTCTCTACTTTTAAAAAAGGCTATACACTATGTCTCAGGGAAATTCAAGAACCTGCAAAGGATTTAATATGTTTCCAATCTGTCTTTGCCTGACTACAAGGTCCAGACCCTATCGCCAAACAATAGGGCTCAGCCAACAGTCATAGAGTGAATTTTCACATCCTTCAGCCCATCATCTAGGGTTAGGATCAGTCTGATAGCATAAGAAGTGGGAAATCAGTTATCCATTAATAACAGTGATGGGCACTCTTATCAGCAAAATGTTCTAGTAATGATCTGACCCTAATTTTTATTCTATAGAATGCCTATGACTTAACCTCCAAGCAATTCTGTATCAATTGTATAGCACTATCCCTAAAGAGTAACATATCTTTTTACTGCTTAAAACAAGCACAGAGCATATATATGAATATATACGGTAAATAGATAGCCCCCTATAAATGTATTATTTTCAACTTAGAATTTCCTCAAGCACAGAACCATTTTGTTTCTTGGTAAGAAATTATTTTACCATGTAACAAATATTCTGTTGAATTGGACCTTTTAACAAACTGAATTTTTAAAAGGAAATATTTGAACTTGTATTTAAATATTTTTGTTCCTCATAAGTTTTCTGAAACGGATATATTGTAAAATGTCATACTTAACAGCTTTAAAATCAGTCTGAAGCAAGCAGAATTAATTGAGGAGAAACTGTATATCTCAGGATTTATTATATCCCTGAAAGACATACCCAAGAAATATATCCAATGTTAAATAATTATTCTAACAGAAACCAAAACTTTTTGAGAACTGCAAGAATCTCATACAGAGGTCTCTGTCCAATTACATCACAGAGAAAGGTTTTTAGGTTACAAAGGAGCTCCTGTTAGCTACGAAGCCCATTTTTATGCACCATTCCAAAACAGATTTTATATTTACCTGTACACAAAGTAAACATAGACAAAATGCATCTGGCAATAACAAGAAAGACCTTATTATATATTTTCTTTAAATTTTTAAAGATTTATTGATTTTTGAGAGAGACAGAGTGTGAGCGAGCAGGGCAGGGGCAGAGAGAGAGGGAGACACAGAATCTGAAGCAGGCTCCAGCTCTGAGCTGTCAGCACACAGCCTGACATAGGGCTCAAACACGCAAGCTGTGAGATCATGACCTGAGCCAAAGTCGGATGCTCAACCGACTGAGCCACCTAGACAACCTGTATTCTTAAAGATTTCATTTATAGTGGGCAGAATAAATGTTCATGTATCAACACCATTTAATGCCAGGTTATAAGTGAACTTAATAGTTCTGTTTTGGGGAATACAGTTTCATGGATGTTATCATATTATAAATTCCTACTGAAGACAGCATTTCAGAAGAAAATGAGTATTTTGGGATATACTAGAAGGGCTTTAAAATGTGGCCATTTTATTAACAAGAAAAAAAGAGTAGTCATTTCAACTGGGATCTTTTTAAATACTAGAGTTCAAGTCCATTTACAGGAATGGAAACATCTGAGGACATATTAAGTATCTTGATTTAGTGAGTTACATGCTGCATAAATAAGTAATAGTCATAAAATTCTTATAGTATATTCCACAAACATTTCAAATGCATTGAATAACTTTAGTTCAAATTTAGGGGTGGAGAGAGGATTGCAGGACCAGAGCAGAGTTGGCCTTGGCTCAAGCCTTCCCCAAGGCCTCTGATTACCTAACCTTGAAGAAGTCATTTCTGCTCTGGATGTATGTTTCTTCCTGTCTTGGGCACCTACAAGACACTTGAGATTCTGACAAAGACCTTCTAGTTTGGCACTGAATCATGAACTCCCACAAATACAGTAGCCTCAACTGCTTTCTATGTTGGCATCTAGTGAATATAAAGACATAATATCAGGAACAATAAAATCAGCTTAAAAATAGCAAATCATGCTTTTCCATAAGCCAGACATTGCAAGAAACAAACTTTGTCAAAAATGGTTCACTGTGACCACTGGAAAAATTCCAGAAATCAATAGGAGGACAGAATTTGTAAACATTACGAACTATCCAGTGGTGAGGAGGTTGGATATATAGCTTCAAACCACAGTGGGGTAACTAGCCCACTTACCATCACACTTCTCCAGGATCTGAACTGTATCTCCAATTTCCAATGACAGGCCATATGGTACCGTTCCTCGAAAGCTGGCAATAACTGCAAGAAATGTTATAGAATATATGAAGATAATCATATTGGTTACAGCCAGTTATACTGCTTACTATTAAATGTTACCGACTAGGAAAAATGAATGTGAAGAGGAAGTACACTTGGAGAGCTAAAACCTGCTGTCATGTTTAAATGTTACATGTTTTTGAAGAGAGTCAGTCTTATATACTTTACCAACTTCCAGGTCAAATAAGTGTTACAAATACGAATTTCAAAGATAGGGAATTTACTAAAACAATACAAAATATCAACACTAGCACTCAATAACCCGTGTGACAAAGATATTTCCTGAAGAGCCCTGGAAAGACCTGTGCCATTGTTACTGCTATATTCACTCTTCATCCAGACACCTCGCCCGTGATAGTTACTCAAAAAATATGTTTTCAATAACAAATGACGAATGCCTCTCTTTCTTGCTGTGAAGCTTGGTTTACATTTCTATGATGTTGCTTAAAAGAGATTTCTTTTCCCTAGACTATAAACTCCTCAAGAGAAGCGATTGCATCTATTTGTTTACTATACTAGCATGTCTCCAGAGCTTAACCAAGTATGTGGTATGAAAGCAGTCTCTTGAGTAGTAATGGATAGTAACATTTTATTTACCTATGACTGGACTCCTCTCCTAGCATTAAACACAGAGCCACAATGACAATCCCCATATGGCTTAACTCTCCTGGAATCGGGTGTGTGTGTCCAGGGGTAAGTAGGGTGTCACCATTTAGCCTTACCTAGTGATTAGAGACTGATTTCTGAAACATTTCACAGGGCTGGACAGGACTAGGATGTTAAAACCAGAGAGAAAGTATGTATGGGTTAGTCACCTCTGGGTACCTTGAGGATCTACAGACAGGTTGAAGCACAGTGATTCCCCCCAGGAGAGCAATGCCTGAGTCAAAAAGGAGATAAGGATGGAGAAATAGAAAAAAATGCACTCCAAAACATGAAAAAAGAAGAGACATGTTCTGTTAAATACTATGAGCATCATATTGAACTTGCAATTCACGTTTTAAAAAATGATAGTAAATGCTTTGACTGCATGGTTTTTAAAAGACCACAATTTTGGAAATCCATTTTATAATTCTGTCTTAGACAGTGAGATTTAGATACAACCCCAATCCCCAAAATAAATTATTGCTACTGTTGTGAATGTACTTTAAAAGCTTGAAGAAACACATGAATCTGTCAAAAATCAGAACATGCCATAAGTAATGGGCTTTTAGAGAGGTCTAAAACTCTTCTGTAATCTCCAAACAAAATTAACAGTAGAGATCAAAACACAGGACAGAAAACATAACCCATGGTACATGAGATGGATGAAAATAATGGTATAGTAACCAACTTAGAACATTTTAGACAAGCACTAATTCATGATGTCATTTTTTTTTCTTTTTTTTAAAGTTCATTTATTTTTGAGAGAGAGAGTGTGCACACCCGAGTTGGGGAGGGGCAGAGAGAGAGGAAAAGACAGAATCCCAAGCAGGCTCCGTGCTGACAACAGTGTTTAATCTCATGAACCGTGAGATCGCGACCTGAGCCCAAACCAAGAGTCTGACACTTAACTAACTGAGCCACCCAGGTGCCCCCATGATGTCATTTTCTAACTATAACCATAAATACCATATGACCTCATACTGAGGTACTAGAAGATGTTTGCTCAAAAAATAATCAAGGGTCTGTATATCTTGACAGATTATCTCAAGTAACTTTCAGAGAGCTCTTACAAGAGATCAACAACTGAAAAGACAGTAGACTGATAACACTTTAAAAGACTTCAGAAGAAGCTTGCATCCAGAATTGCCTTTCTTCATTCATGAAGTTACCTCGCCTGCTCACAACCCTGGTGATTCCACACTGCTCCGCTTAGAGATCTAAGCGCACAGAATCCCCAGCACAGCTCTGTATATAGCTCCTACTACTCACAAATGCCCTTGTAACTCCCAAGGCTGCATGTTCTCTCCTAGCCCTCAGCACCTTCTTGAACACAGTAGTACCATCCATGGACTTCATTTCTTCCCCTCCCTTCACACTTCACACCACTCAATCCAGCCCTCACTGTGCTCTGAAACTGCTCTACTGAAGTCACCAGTCCCCTAACTGTGACTTTGCATATCGCCTTCAGGAGTCTATCCTCTCTTGAACTGGGTCTCTCACACTCCCCAGCCTTCTTCTATAGAACTTCCTTTCTTAGCTCTCTTAAATGTTGGTGTCATCCAGCATTCTATGCCCAAGATGCTGAGGCATAAAAGTTGGGGTGTAGGCAAATAGCATCAAGTTTGGTATTGTGAGACATGAGTTTGAACCCAGATCTTAAACACTTATTAGCTTTTTCATTTTAGTAAAGGCATCTCTCAAAATCTGCATTCATTACCTGTTCAGGCAAATGGGGGTAACAATAAAGGAATTGTAAAAGGTAGTGGAGGATTAAATAAAGCACCTATCAGAAATAATTTACTACACACTAGGTACATTCTAGTCATTTAATGAATACTTCAATTATTTAAACTGTACTTTTTCCTTCCTATCCATATACATTCTTCCTTTTTGGAGAGAGAGCCAAGCCTTCTAGAATCACCTGCTGACAAATGGTTTGCCAAGTCTCTCTCCAGTTCTGATCTGTGCCCACAGAATCTGACACAAACTTGGAAATTGTAGATCTCTGCTCCCATATCTAAGCACCTAAAACTGAGCACACTTCCAGCTGAACCCGTAATCCTGCCATCCTCTAACCAAATCCAGCTATTTTCTCTCTCCCGATCACCCATTCTGAAATGTTAGTCTAAAATAGTAGTCTATTGACAGTCCTGCTTCATCCTGCTATTACAAGGTGGATTTCTCTGTATCCCTCAACGGGGCCACTGTAAAGCCTTCTGGGATGCCTCCCTGGTTGTCCTTCCTCAACACAATGTCCACAATGCCACCAGTTACCTTTGATTCAGTCACCTTTGGGTTTAAGGTTTTGCAGGGTTTCTCGTCTGTGTGTGTGTGTGTGTGTGTGTGTGTGTGTGTGTGTGTGTGTGTGTGTTTCCGTTTCTGCATGTGGCATCAGGAAAATTTTTATATTTCAACTATTCGATTTGATTTCCTTGGATTTCCTTGGCTCCAAATATGGTGTTGTGTTCATCTCTCCCCATTTGCTATTACATAAAAAATTAATTTGGATTAACAAATATGCATATAAACCTAAGTTAGAGTCAAGGATTTTAAAATTTTTACCTAAGATGAAAATCTTAAGTGTAGAGAATAGCCATCTTGAAAGCCATACCATAAATAGCTGCCTTTTATCATTCATAATGTTATTCCTTCATATAATGATAATCAGTTTAATACCTATTAACAATTCATTTGAAATTAAATGGCTGTGAGAAACAACCTCATAGAGAGTCATAAGTATTTTCTGTGAAGAAGGTAGAAAGAAAGCAAAATCATTCTGTGAAGTAGAGACCCATACCTCAGTTTCATTGATACTGTTTGTCCATGCAAACAACAAATTCATTACTTACAACTTTTAAACAGCACAGAGAAACTCAATCACAGAGTCCTACAACTTTTCAAAGCAAAAACAGAAAAAAAAAATAATTAAAAAACTACTTGAAGTCAATGAAGTAGGTCTACCTCGCAGACAATAACAAGTTCTTCATCATCATTGTCAAAACAATATTTACAATGATTCTATTTGCCACAATTCAATTCAAGTCTGGCAAAGGCTGCCCTTGCCCTTTATGGGCTGACAATCTAAGGTGAATGGAATGTAACATAAAAGAATAATAATAATAATAATGAAAATGCTTTGTCCCTTCTGACATAAAGGAAAGAAACTCATCTCTCAAAGTCAGAGTTTTGGCTTCGTCTTTCTAGTAATAGTATCTCTGACTCATGAACAGATTGTGGTCTGAAAGGTCACCTGTGATCTGACTATTTACAACACAGAACATGGTATTGTTGGTCTCAAGTTCTGAGATTAGCCCAAGAATCCTATTTGATTCAAAAATGAAACTGCTTGTTTTTTGCCACAAAAACATGTGCTATGATTGCACCAGAAACCAAACAAACAAACAAACAAACAAACAAACCATATTGATGTGAGTAGTTGTATGATTTTTTTTTTAATTTTTTTTTTCAACGTTTATTTATTTTTGGGACAGAGAGAGACAGAGCATGAACGGGGGAGGAGCAGAGAGAGAGGGAGACACAGAATCAGAAACAGGCTCCAGGCTCTGAGCCATCAGCCCAGAGCCCGATGCGGGGCTCGAACTCACGGACCGCGAGATCGTGACCTGGCTGAAGTCGGACGCTTAACCGACTGCGCCACCCAGGCGCCCCAGTAGTTGTATGATTTTGACACACAGCAGTAACAGTTAGAAGCAATGATGAAGCAGGCACGGACTGTGCAGGCATGCTAAACAAACTCTTGCGCAGAGCACATTTAGAACTGGTTCTTGCCTATGTCTGCATGCATTTCACATTGTACATTCAGCTCTAGCTTGCCATGGATATATCTATAGTTAGGTTGATTAGTTTTGAGTGTCATTGGTGAACTTCTGAAGAACCTGGATAAGAGCTGGAGCAAAGAGAAAAGGGAAAGGGGATTAATGAGAAATTCTTTCCAGGGACTCTATTTCATAAAATGGTGAACTACAGAGAAAAACAAGGGGCTACCTTCTGTGCACATGTACAATATCCGCCTGTAGGGAGAGACCAAATGTGGTGGGGAAAAGCAGAATACTACTCGAAGCCAAGACTCTTCTTTCTTAATAGCTGTCTGGAATAGGGCTTGAGGGCAGATGGTCATCACTTGGAGATTTCTATAGGTACCTGGCTATCAGTATGACAGCAGGGCTGTGGAAGCAGGTGGCTCAGAAAGAATGAAGAAAAAATTTAAATGAATGTGGGATGGGGAGATAAACTGGGAGCTCCTGAATGCTGCTTTGATGCTGGAAATGAACTAAGAAAATGAAAGAAATGCTGTGCTCCTTCTCATCCTCAGACTTGCCATGACCTTGGGATCTGGGTCCGTTCTGGAAGTGG